CGGCTCTCGTTGGAAGCTGAAGATTTATGTTAATAAAAAACAATAAAAATAACAATAAAAATTATTGTTATTTTTTTCTTTTTTTCAATCCACGAAGAGAGAAGTAAAAAAGAAAAATTAGATTGCTTTTCAATCAGATGAGAAGGGAAATCAATTTTGTCAAAGGAATGAATTCTAAAGTATTCGTAGTCATTTTCTTTTTAAGGATTTTCTGTAATGGAAATTCTTTAAGTTAGTTTATACCAGTGACTATTTCTTGGCCGACTATCCGGCGTGGATGGAAAGCATCCAGACTGTGGTCAACCAGTGGTCGCTAATGCTCACTTTCTCTAAAACACTTCCTTATTATCAGTTGACCGTTGTGGACGGGTGTCTATTGTATATATAGTTGTACCGAGAAAACGAATTACAATAAATAATAATAAATGGGATTAAGAGATAGGGCAGAAATAGAATTCTGAATTTTCAAAAATAAATAGATTCGTCGCACTGTATATATAAATATCGTTTAAACGTAATTTGGATGGAAGGAGTATCTAGTAGAAGAAGGATATGAATGAAAATTGGTGGTTTAGGGAATCGGCAGATGTACCTGCTCCCGCAGTCGATTGCGGCTTTTTCAGCGTCGAGACGTCTCAATTTCACGACTCTCGGCCTCGATCGGCAAAAAACTTCCCCTCGCTCGCTTTTTTACCTCCGTCCAAGTCGTCGCGTTTCCCAATTCGTCGACCCGTATTCCCGTTTTCGGCCAATCGAACGAACCGATCCCCACCCAGCTTTCCGAAATCTCGGAAAATCTAGCCCCTCCTGGCCAGTCTCTTCGAGGTGTCGGCGGAAGCAGGTCGAAGAGTCGAAAGCTTGAAAAACTTGGGAAGGAAAGAACTGCTCGAACAATTTTTCGAAAAAAAAAAAAAAAAGAAAAAAACGATCGACAATTTATTGAAAAAGTTTTACGCGAAAGAATGTAAAATGTAACTCGTAATACGAAGGAAGTAACATTTAGATTTATCGAAATTCGATTCGTTGTTGTTGACTGAAAAAGGGAAAAAAAAAAAAAAAATGTTGAAACCTCGTGTTACAGGGAAGGTAAAAGTAAAAGAGGAAAAGGATGCTTCCTCGATGGCGCCAGGAAGCCCACCGACGCCACCGCACACCCCCCAAAGCCCACCTCGACACAATCCACCCCCGGGTAACCTGTCTCAATCCTGTCAGACGTCGAACGCCAATTCTCCGAATCTGCAGCAACAGCAACAGCAGCACCAACAGCATCAACACCACCAACAACAACACCAGCAACAAGAGTCGAATCAGCAGCAGCAGCAGCAGCAACAACAGCAGCAGCAACAGCAGCATCAGCATCATCATCAATCCATTCACGCGATGACCAACACGCCCCTGAGCCAGATCTTGGTCCAGAATCCGGCCCTTGCTCAATTACTGCAACAGAATCCCGCGATTCTGTCGCAGAATCCGCAGTTGGCGCAGTTGCTGCAGCAAAATCTTCAAGTTCAGATGGGCAGCGTCCTTTTCCAGAACGTGAGGAGGGAGGAACCTGAAGAATCGAGGGTGAGTCAGTCGAACAAATTAATTAGACGGGAAGGGTCCCTTTCATCTCCCGCGGACCGTTTCGCCGTTTCCCTCGCTTCTCTCTCGCCCTCGTGACGGAAATGGATTGTTTCGTTTCCTTTTTCCTCCTTTTCCTACGCTCGTTCCTCGCCTCGGACACTTAACGAGAGGAACGCGTCGTTCACGATGGAATTTTTCTCTTTTTTCTTTTTTCCCCCCTCCCTCTCTCGCTGTTAATGGAATATCTCTAATTCCCTTTCGACGAATTCTTTCTAAATTTAATTAAAAAAAAAAAAAAAAAAAAAAAAAAAAGAATGGGGAAAATCACGTTTCTTCTAAAACGAAAAAAGCATTTTCAACGCGTCTCACTATCGATCGATCGTTTCGAGTTTTGTACTCTAGCGATCTCTTTGATTTCGCTCGAAGACGTTGACGACGTTTTAATTGATAATTATAAATAGAAAAAGAGCGTGCGTGCGATGATGCGGATCGAAGTGGATCGGAATAAAATAATAGAAAGGGAAGGAGAACGTATTTATTTTCGTCCGGATCGAGTTCAATTTCGAGAAGTTTTTAAGATAGTCGATGGTCGTTTTTATCCGTTCGTTATACCGGGCCGCGTGAATCGAGCTTAACCCGTGACTCGAGCGACGTAGATCGATTATAGTAGACCTCGTGGACACCGGGCCCGGTTGATGATGACGTGACAACACCGGATTGTCAACATGCCGCGAGCATCTGCTACAACGGTTGGATTTCGTTCAACTTGTTTCCACTTGAATGACCAGCGCCAAGATCCCATGCTCGCCGTGCCAATTATATGAAAATAATTATCTCGATTTATTGGCGGCCGGTGACGCAATACCGAGATAACTAATTCACCATGAAATCTTGTTCGCGGGTTTAAAACCTCTTTCCTTAATTGACTCGACTCCGTTGATTGCTGTTTCCCTTGTAAAATCAAATCTCGTAACTAATTTATTCCCGTTGCATATTTCTCTCTCTCTCTCTCTCTTTTTCTCCTTCTCTTTCTCTCGATCAAACCCGGTGTCGGATAACGCGCGCTCGAAATTCAAACATCATTCAGAATAATTATCGAGCCTGTCCATTTTCTCCAAAATTTTATTTATTACTTTCTATATGTGTTTAGATATATATATATATATATCGGGAAAATTCTTCGCGTGCAAATATAAATCGTGCTAATCCACGCAGTTCGTTGTTCCGAGAAACTGAACCACGTCCAAGATAGTATAACGTCGCGCAGCATCGATGACTCAATGAGACGAGTATCAGAAGTTATTCCGTTGATAATCCGTTATCCAATTCTTCGTTTCTTTTCTTTTCTTTCTTTTTTTTTTTTTTTCCGTTTCAACGACAAATGTTGATGTTCGTAAATAAAAATTACTCGATCCCTCGAGCATTTCTGACTCTTCTCGAAATAAAAGAAATCATCCCGACTCGATCCCGACCGATAATCGGGGAATCGTTATCGACGAGGCGAAAAAGAAAAAGCGAGAGAGGCGGAGTGAATCGGTGGCTCGATGATGACTCGTGGACGGGTCGTAAAGTCTGTCGCATTCCAGCGGGAAACGCGCATCCGCGCTGGAATAATTCAGGGGTTCCTGGAACGAACGCAACCCGATCGTAATTTGTCCCACGATACGGTACATATTGGCGGTAATCTCGGCTTTGATTCTTGACCTTAATTCGTTCAGACATTGTTCCCATAAAATAATCGAGAACAATGATCCCCTTTCCCCTCGCGATTCGCATTACGCGGCGCGTACGTGTATATGGGAGGAATATAGGAGGAAAGGAAGGAAAGGGAGGGGAGGAAGGGACGATTTGTCGACGGCCGTCGATAAAGTCGTCCGTCCCGTAAATAAAAATTTCGACTCGGATCTCGATTGCATACCGCGATTCAGCGCGGTTCAAACATTTTCGCGCGGCATTCGTTTCGGAACGGCGGACTCGATCGAAGCCAGCGTTTTTTTAATGCGATTGCATTTTCACAATGACTAATAAAACGTCTGACGTAGAATTCTTAAAATTGCCAGGCGAAAACATTTGGGTAGAGGGGATTACGTCAGACACATCGGGGAATTAACTTTCTAAAAGAACAATTAACATTCTACGCCATCCTTCGACACACCCTACATTCGATAACCGCTTCATACGTACGTATTGTATTATTCCAATAACTTGGAACAACCACTCTTTCGGAGACGCTTCCATAACGTATAGCGTAAACCACACCCTCAAATGAGATCCGGTGTTGTTCCTTCGATACGTACGTAGCGAAATGAAGGAAAACGAGGAGAAGAAAGAGGAGGAGGAGGATAAAATCGGTACGCTCTCAGAGAGCGTCGCCCCTCCTCTCTCCGCGTGGCCGGCCACCACCCCTTTCGAGGCGATTTTCTC